ATCAGAAAGCCTGCATGTGCAACAGTCTAACGACTCATGAAATTCCTCAGTAACCGAGCATATTTTTTGTTAAAAAAAAATTACTTCAGTGTGGCTGCACTGATGCAAAACGCAGTCAGAAATGTAAGCAGAAGAGTAGACGCTGGCTATGACGGGGAGAGCAACGGAGCAAAGGAAGCTTGAAATGTCTCTCACACAAACAATCAAATAAATGGCCAACGCACGGACTGCCCCTGCGAAGATACGTTTTTTGCATAGTTCCCCGCAGATTTTTGTCGCTAACGGCACTGTTTTTTCCGACAGATACTTCTAGCTAAAAGAATTGAGACTGACTGCCAGGACTGCCAGGAAGCACCCCTTAAAGTTTCATCTTTTTAGTTTTCCTGCCCCGCAAACTTGCCCGAAAAAACTTTCACTGGCTCATACATAGGAATCATGCATACCCGAAATCTGGCTTTGAGCTCATTAATACCTACTTGGACGGAGAACATTCCCTTAAAATTCAGTTTTCCAGCTTTTCTGGTTCTCGAGCTAGTAGCAGGCCCTCCAAAAACTTTCGCGGGCCCGTGCGTTGGTATCACGCGAATAAGAGTGGCCATTTTGGGGACATGGGCCCATACGTGCATGTAGATTAAGTGCTCAAAGTTTCAGCCCTGCAGCTTTCATAGGTCTTAAGATGAAAGATCGTTACAGACACACACACAGAAGCACGGATACAAACAGACACACAGAAACACAACACAAACAACCCCTCACAAATACGTGTTTTCTGCACCGAATAGATGCAAAAAACACACAAAAAAGGCAGTCACACTATCCATCAATAAACGAAGTGCGAGATACAAGTGCAACATGGCAAGGCTTGCTAAAAACCAGTAAGACCAGGGCATCAGTGAGTGGCATTCGCGAGAAAGTAAACGACCACTCAAGTGGCTTTTGGAGAGGTAGGGCACACAAACTGAGGGAGAGTTGGATAGAAACTAAACATACACAGTTCAGGACCCAGCAACTCAGCGTACGGGAGCATCCCAGTAACATCACTAGCATCAAGTCCTCACATCGACAGTCCGGCAGCCTTAGAAATAGAGATATTAATTATTATCGCGACCCTATCAGTTAATATTTTTAGACTAGTGGTATGCCCAGTTTGTAAGAGTGTGTGTGCGACGCCCCGTCCTATATACATATTTATTAATACATAGCATGTTAAAGAGATAATACAAGCAAAGGTGTTGAGGCTCTGGGGAGCCAAAGATTCCCAGAACAGGAGCAGAAGCTAAATAAAATAGGTCGCAGTGGTGGATGGGTAGTGGCCATCCCGGCGATGGGGAGAAATGCTTTTATACCCTAGTGGACGAAGATCGAAAGTTCAATGAGGGTAGGGTGGCCAAAGTTTGAACCAGGGACAGGGAAATTGCATCATAGTAATGCAGTTGTTCTTTAACCTACTTTTA